TCGGTAATATTTCCGACGGAATTTCCGCCAGAAAAATCCGTCGGTGATGCCCTTTTTTTTAGTAGTGAATCCAAGGAGGAATAAAAATCCTCTTGTGGCTATGGAGGTTCAAATGCGGTGACTCCGGACTATCTGCAAAGTAGGTGGTCGTCCTGGGATTAGTCGGCTCGCATAACGGGTTAGATATCCAGGTTAATAAAAAAAATTAAATGAAAAAGAAATTTTCATGCTATAAAGTGGTGAAGTGTGAATTAGGGATGCCATTCAGATGTATTATGTCAAGTTTGGTGGTTCCTTTAATGAGATTATGTAACTTTCACATGAAACTAATAATAAATAAACTAAAAACTTAAATAATTTCAACTATTTGATTTGAAAAAGTCTTTAATTTGTTTCATAATGAAATAAAAACATGAACTATATTTTGGTTTGGTTTGGATATTTACGATATTGAAGTTGATTTTGTAGAGTCGTTATTTTGTATATCATACCTAACGACATGTAAAACGTCAAACGATCATGTCATAGTATATATTATTTGGGACTCATAGGAGTTTGGGAATATGCTTAATAATACAGTACATTGTTGACCTACGAAGCAACCAACCTCTTTCTCTCTCTCTCTATATATATATGTGTGTGTATATATGTATGCATGTATGTATACATATTATGACAATATGTTAGATATGTTCTATGTTATTTTCTTGATGCCATATAGAAAGACCTTTTGAGAATCACTTAGCCCCTTGGTCCTTGACTTTTACTATGCTACGAAAAGGTTATCATATCACATAGGTTGACGTTTGGTAACACAAACTGAAATAAGAGGAGCAACGACAATTGGTAACCCATCAGAAAGCAATTAGGTGTCACTGTGCTTCTGTCTCCCTCTTTATAGAACTGCTTAAACACTAACCTAATAAAACTAACCAAATCAAATTAACTCTTGATATGTTGCTCAAAAGCTCGGATTCTAGCTAGTTTTTTCCCTAGCTAATGAAGAGATCTTGGCAGATCCCCCCCCCCCCTAGCGCACACACACATACGAGTGCATGCACACACACACACATATGTATAGAGAGAGAAGGTTTCAAATAGAAACCATGTAACTATTACAAACCATACAAACCAACCAATTAAGATATTTATGGAAATGATGAATGATCATTTAGTATGATCTCGATATTTGTTGAAGAGGATTAGAGTTCATGGATTATGATCAACACTTTATATTAGGAAACAATCGAGATATTTATGAGCCAAATATTCATTAAAGCAGATGGACAGTTGACATTAGGTTTGTATGGTCTGAACTATTAGATGTTTTGCATTTAAAACTCTCTATGTACATATATATAAATGTCAACATATACCATAAATTAAACATACAAGGTGAGTTACAATATTTGATAATGTGTTTTGTTTATCTACATGCTCCTAAGATATCACAATGATGCTTTGAAATTTGTGTGTTCATACTACATGTCTTTGTGTAAATGGATACATAAACAAGACGTCGATTCAACTAATTCACCTCTACTTGTGTGCTTGCATGTTATATAGCAAATTATTTACCTATATATGTAATGCAAATAACATATCTTTGGTGCTAGGTCAGTATCATGTGAAAATTTGACAAATCCAAGTTTCTTTCAACGTTACGATCTTACTACAATTAAATTGTATCTTTTAACGACTAGTGTAGCATACTTGCATACACGCCATTGATGCTTGTAGTATATATACACACACACACACAAAAACACGATTTCGCTAAACCATTTGGCTTACCATGTGTATACCTGAAGACAAAACAACATAGGCTCCTCCAAAGGCAAAAAAGTGGCATGAGTAGAGTATCGCATCGAACAATAACTAATTCAACAATATCTGAATACTTGTTGCATATTTTTTGATTAAACGTAGATTTTGCTTTTGTACTTTGACTTTAAGCAATCTAATGATGTTGGTATGAGCATGTGAGATGACAAGGTGTTATATCTCGCAAGTTGAAGTTTAACACAAACCGGGTATTAAATAGATTTTTAACAAACATGATATTAAAATATTTAAATTTTTATTTGGGTTAGAATTATTCTTAAGTTTATAAAATAATTTCAATCATTATTTCATAATTCATATCATAAATAAAAACATTATCAACAAAGTCTAATAGTTGAAAAACGATATAGAGTCGTTATTTAATTTATGGTGATATAAATTTTATAATATAAGTTAAAAAATAATTTCAAAGAAAATTATAATAATAAATACAATCATAAATAAATTTTAAAATAAAATTTAATATCCTCAAACAAAATAATTCGATTAATAAATCAAATCCAGACGGTGTGTTTTTTTTTCTAAAGTCAACTCTTACCTCCTCATTGAAACTAAAAGGTCGTAAATATAATTTAATAGAAAAAAAAAGTCGTGTACTTGTAAAAAAATGAGATTACTTGAGATACACGTTGAATGTGGAGATTATGCATTGAATTTCTGGTAGTAGATTCATAATCAAAGAAGTGCGCGTGAGTATTGCACAATTATTTAATCATTTCATTTTCCCAAAGTTTAGTGTTTGCGAGATTAGTCAACAACTTGATTCTCTTTTCCAAAGATCCCGATAAGGGAACCCTATGGAAGTCGTCGAAATGTGGACATTCACGGGAATATAAAAATGGATTTACTTTCATTTGGTGTTATTTATGTACTACAAATGTATTTATATAATGAGGGGTGATATATCTACTACGACTCATATGGTGAACTTCCACCGAACTTTTGTGATGCATCGATCATTAATGAGCATCATTAGTTTTTCTCACATGTCATAATTACGTTGCAAGTGAAATCCCTTGTCTAATAGAGTTTAAAAAGTTAGTTTCTTCGTCTTTGGTAAATAATAATTTTGTTGGTAAAATTCAGTGTCATAAACTATGATCATGGAAGTGGCGGACGCAGAAAAATATATTGTAGGGGGCACGTTATAAAGTAAAATAATAATTAACTTCAATTTCATACAAAAATGATAAAAAGTTACCTCTTACAACTGTGCCCTACGACTTTTCATCTTTTGAAATTGCGTAATTACATCATCATTTGAAACTGCGAGAAGTGCTTCTTTTTCTATAGTACATATCATTGCAGCATTCAAAATTAACCTAAATCCTAAAGCATTTACCAATTACCACAAAATTAACCAACAAAATTACCCTAAAATAAATACCTAACTTAAAGCATTTATCAATTACCATTTACCACAAAATTAACATAAAATAAATACCTAACCCTAACCTAAAGCATTTACCAATTACCAATTACCACAAAATTAACCAACAAAATTACCCTAAAATAAATACCTAACTTAAAGCATTTATCAATTACCATTTACCACAAAATTAACATAAAATAAATACCTAACCCTAACCTAAAGCATTTACCAATTACCAATTACCACAAAATTAACCTAAAATACTACTAATTGAAAACTTGAAGATGGAAATTAGAATTAGAAATTTAGAATATTTACTTACCAATTACCAAGGCAGCAAGCAGCCAGTGAGCCAGGAGCCAAGTCGCCGTCGGTCTCGACTCTCTCTCGCGGTCTCGGTCTCGCCTCCTCTGGTGCAGGTCGCAGGCGGCAGCGGCAGCACCAGTCGACAGTCGTCGTCGCAGTGGCAAGGTCTCGCCAGTCGCCAGTCGCCTCCTCTCTGGCTCTCTGCGTCTGCGGTCTGTCTCGCTCACGCCTCCTCTCTCGTTCCCGTGTGCTGGTGACTGGTGTGCAGGTTAGAGTAGAGGGGCCTTTGTCAAATATTGTTGGGGGCCCAAACAACACTTATTAAAAAATACAAGTAAAATTTTTTTTTGGGCTTTGGTGTAAAAAAGTTGTTGGGGGCCCAGGCCCCCTACCCCTTAAACGTGCGTCCGCCACTGGATCATGGGGTTCGGGATTCACTCAATAAAGGGGAAGGTTTGGTCTGTGTTTTGAGGAGTATCCTAGCGAAGGGGAGGGGTTGTTCGGTTCACCTGAGAAGATGGTAAGGGGGTCCATCGGAGAAGATGAGGGAGGGGGTTCACCGAAGAAGATGGAGGAGGGTTCATATATAGAAAATGAGAGATTAAGGTAAAAAGACCAAAATGCTTACGAGTAAACAGATTTTCTTATCAAAATTACTGTGGAGGATGTAAATTATAATAAAATGCATACGAGAGGAACATCTTCCATAATTATTTCACTTTAGGGACTTGATCCGTAGTTTTTGATTAAACATAGGGACCAAAAATGTAATTCACTCTTTTTTCTCTTTAACTATTTAATTACTTAGGTGGTGTTTGTTTTTTTTTTACTAATGTTGAAGTCTGAAGTCTTATTTCACTTCTAACTGATAAGAGGTGGTGTCGAAGTCTGAAATCTGAATCAATAAGATTATTTGTTTTTGTAAACTGATAAATATCTGAATTTGTTTAAATTATCTATTTTACCCATAGATCTGTGTTTTTTATAGATAAATATATATAATTTCACGCACACAAACACACACACACACACACACACACACAYATATATATATATATATATATATATATCATTATGAAATTTACATTTAAATTATATAAATAGCATTCATTTAAATGAAAATAAGCCCATTGACAGTGTTTAACACATTTAAATATCATTAAAATACATCAATTGAGAGAGGTGATGATCAATTTGGTAAGGATCGATTGAGAGAAAAGATCGATTAAGGTTAATCGATTTAGAAACATCGTTGCTGAGAATCTGGAGAACAATAAAAGGTTGGTTTACCTCATACCAGATAAGAAGAATATAAGACATAAGAATTTAACTTTTAACGAATCAGATATAAAAGACGGATAAGAAATTTTTTTATAAAAACAAACAAGGCCTTATTGTATTTTTATCAAACGTCTGTGTATACAAGTCTTATTTTGAAAAAACTTGTAGAGTTTGGGTCATTACTAGTATAATTTATAAAATATTTTATTTCATGTATTATTTTTTGTTAAATATAAAAATAATATATCTATACTATCTTATTAAGCAAATTTAGCAAAAGTTTTAAAATACTAAATGATCAAAATACCTTTTATACTCATTTTTTCACATATTCCTCTCCTCACATGCACTCACCCTCTCACAACCGATTTTTTAAAAATTATAATTTTAAATTTACACTTTATACCACTATAATTAATTTATTTATTTATTTTACGTCHTTTACTTTTAAATGTTTCATTTTAAATCTTTATCAAATTAACATACATAATCATATATCAATTAAAATATGTTTAAAAAATACATTTTTATTTTAACAAGTTACACCATTATAATCGTTTCACTAATACTTTTGAAACGAGTCCAATATTGAATAGTTTTTGACTTAATTATATTATTATATATTATATATACTGT